CATACAAAAAATGATTTAGTAACTCAACAATTTTTTTAGGCATTTTCTAACTCTATGCCCAAACTGACAATGCTGAGTAAAACAGTCTAGCAGATAATAATGGATTTATGACAGAAGTCACAAAGGATTAAGACCTCTGTGACTCACTCATTTATTCATTCCTGCTTAATTTGCACACTGAAGGCTAATATAATGAGCCCTACTCCATCCATACATTTATCTAGAAAATCAGAGGCAAGTCTTTGAGAAATCAAAATGTGGCACTGACAACACATACCTCATAGTTTATTTCTAAAACAGCTCATCAGTTGTAAATTGTACATTTAAGAATTAATTTATTAAATCCGGTGTTACACAGCCAAACAAATATTGACATGATGTATCATCACAATATGCTCTCAATAACAGTTTTTACATTGCTAACGAGTTTTGCCAGAAAATCAAGAGATTTATGCCAAAAACTGGCTCTCTGCGTTTGTCTGCCAACCTTGGCCGCTGTTTTGCATCCAAAGACAAAATTACCACAACACCCTCTGTGTAGCAAAGCAGTTTATAGAGCCATAAACCTATTTCTCGAATGTTCACAATTCTTTGTTGTGTGTGTGTGTGTGTGTGTATATATATATATATATACTGAAAAAGAGTCTAAGTGCGTCTATACAGAGTATTGAATGTTAACTTTTTCAAGCCAAGTGAGATCACAGAAATGTTCAAAAGCAACCTGTGAAGTACTTTTTCATCTTAGAGAAATATTTCAATATAATTCTAGGAAAATGATAGCAAACGTAATGATTTGCAGGGTAGACTTCATAATCATATAGCCCTAGGAGCCTATTTCCTTCTAACTTTGGACACATTAACCAAAATCTTGGCTTTAACAGTAAAGAAAAAAAAATTAACACCAGCATTTTGTACAGAGATTAAGGATTAGATGAGATTATGATGGTGAAGTGCCTAGCACTGTGCCCAGCACATTAAAAAAGGGCTTGATAAACATCTTTATTTCCATGTAATTACATCTTCAGTAGATTTTACTGTTTCTGAAATGTGTAAATTTTGGGGACCCAAAGAAAAGGAAATGAGTCTTGATTATATTTCATCTCCAGCATTTAGCAATTCCCTTGATACAGCTAATAATTAATATATATTTGTTAAAAATGGGAGAATGCTTTTCACTTTCTTAAGAGAGCGATTAATTCATTTCTGAGTCAAGAGTAAATTCTCTACTACAAGAAACGGTGAGGAATATATTCATTAACCAAATATTCTAGCAAAAGAATTAGGCATGAGCCACAAATTGTTGCAATTTTCAAAGTTTTTATTCTTTTATATAGTCTTTTGATTATAAAGTACTTATTATTATGGGCAAGGTAATTTGGAAATCCTGTTTCAGTCACATTCTTACACTTTTATAAAATTTATACTTTAAATCAGAGACAAATATAACTCTGTATTTAACAGTTGCTACAATGGGGGAATGTCCAAAATGCAATGGTTGCTTGGAGAGTTAAACAACCTAGCTCTCCTCGGGAGGAGTGAGGAAAGGCTCCCCAGCTTTTAAACTTGAAGAATCAATCCTAGATTTTTCAGGAAGACCACTGGAGAAAGTAGAGGCATGGAGATGTGAGACCATGGCACAATGGAGGTACTAAATATTTGTAGTTCAGTGTAGCTGCAGTGCAAATCAGTCGTGGTAACAGATGACTTTGAACAAAGAGCAGCTCACGAAGGTTCTCACGTCATATAGATTTTTATTCAGCAGGATTTTGACTAGTGGAACGACACAATTGTATTTCCATGCCAAAAAGCTCATTACAAAAACAGTGTGAAAGAGGGAACAGAGAGACTACAAGCTTTTCTAATAGCATTTGTGAGAGGACGAGGGCTTTAATTACAGATCTTGAACAGATTTTGTAAATGGAATCAATAGAATCTCGTGATGGGTTTGCTATGGCAAAAGAAAGGAAAAAAAACCTAATGAGTCCCAAATACCTGGCTTAGGCAATTTGGAGGCTGTAGCTAATAGATTAGATAGGCTAAACCTTTCAAGAATGTTTATTTCAATAGAATGGTTTAACTACATAGCCTGATTTAAATAATGATCTATCTCTAATATTATCAGAGGGTATTTCCAGAATTTCTGTATTGGAGGGGCTTATGGGCAACAATCTGGTCAGAAGAGCAGGGTACCAATCTTGTAGCTGCATCTGCAAGATACATAAAATGATAGGAACGTAAATTGTCTGATGAAGCTGATGAACACGGCGCCATAGTCCTGCTCTCACTGGGCCAACCTATGCAGTAGCACCAGAATCATAATTATCTTTATTTGATTGACTTTTACTGAATGTCCTATAATTTTACCATATTTACACCATCAAATTTACACCATGTATTGAAAAGTAATGCCATTCATGATTATTAGACACATATTAAGTAATCTGAAATAAGAATTGAAGTCCTAGACATTTTCTATTTTTAAATTTATAATTCAATACAGATACAGATTTGGTAAAAAAGATACTAAAAATTCTCCTTGTATGATGTGAGGAGTTCCAAAGTCATAAAAGGGGTCAAACCCAAATCTCAACCTACATAAGCCTTTCTTCTTCTGTAAAATGGGGATAATTTGGAATTGTGAATGAGGAAGTCTATCGAAATATTTGACACACAGATGTTCACTACATTTCTTTTGGGTGAATTACCTATGTAAATCATATATACATGTGTATGTATATACCGAACCACAAACTACATAAGTTAATATATATTCATACATATATAGACACATATACATATATGTGTCTATATATATGGAATTTACCTATGTAACCTGCTGCTTTATAAACAGCCTTGGGAACACTGAACAGTCAATTCAGAACTGCTCCATTAAAGTGTATTAATGCTTCCAAGTTCAAAAATATTTCAATGCCTTGGGTTAAAGACATGGTAAGTATTTTTAATATCTTAATTAGGGGAAAGGGGGCCTTAAAGGGGACTGAATTTTCTTCCCATTAACTTTCCTTTCAAATAATTTTAAGAAATAAAATATCCACAAAAACTATTGTATAAACACTTTAAAATGAGGTTTTACTACCAGTGAGCGAGACTGTTAGCTAGTGTCTCTGCACTTAGTCAGCTACTAGAGAACCAAGAAGTGGATGTACACTTTCCAAGATTCTAGAACATATCCTAGTCACTTCTACTCCTTGGACTTAATTTTGGTCATCTACAAAGTGAAAAGGTTGGCCTTATCATTTTCAAACCCAGCTGCACAAGCATCACCAGGACCGCTTTTTGTAAACAGAGATTCTTCTACAACATACCAGATTTAAGGATTCAAAACTTTAGGGGTGATTTCTAGATATCTGTATTTTTAGTTCTCTAGGTGGCTCTGATAATCACTTAGGTTTGGAACCTATCAGCCTACACAATTACTATAATCGCTCTCTTTTTTGTTCCTGAAAAAGGACTGGCATTTGGAAGTATATATTCATTTCTATGACCTATGGTGATTAATCATCTTTGCCCCACCCCCCACCTTTTTTTTGCAACATTTGTTATACACCGGCTCAACAGGTGTGCTGATTAGCAGCTTTAATAATGAGGAGTACACAAAACAGTTTACAGTATGACAAAATGTATTTCCCTAAGATATTAATTATGTACCAATAATGTATTTAAAATACGATACTTCAAAACATTCTGCACAAAGAACTTAGAGATCACATTTATTTAATAACAAATATCCAGTTCTTTAGGAAATGTTTTTAATTTAAGGACTTACTATAACAAAACTTTCAAAACCAAAGAACAAAAATATTAAACAAATTACTTTATGGCACAGGACATCATAACTTATGTAACATAGCAGGCAGATTTCGTTGTACAAACAGGATGGAGGGAAATCTAAATTGAAATAAAAAATTCAGAGAATGGGTATTCATAAATTTCTGGTTAACTAAGGCTTAATGATGTTAAGAACCTGGGGCCTCTGAGCAACAGTTTTGTTTAGAAAAATAAAAACTCCCCAAATATTAGAAGCATACTTTTCAACCTTTACAATTCAGAATCTCACTGTTCGTTTGTCAAATATATGACAACATCTGGTTAATTTCTTAAACTACAAATGTCACCCTTGAGATGCTACCCGGTTGCATCTCCCTATACATTTTTTTCCCAATGAACCTAACGCCTATGACAGGGAAGATAACTGAAACATGCTTAGATAAAAATTGGTCTTAGAGATAATTTATTCACGAATAATTCAGCAAGTACTTACTGAAAGCCTACATTTCCAGGTCTAAAAAGAGCAAGACAGACACAAAGCCTGCCTCCAGGGAGCTCACCATCCAGTATATAGCAGCAGGCCAAGCACTGGTTCTGCATCACTATGAACCTTCCTTTCATCTTTCAAAATTTGCATAGATACTGATTTCCTCTGTAAGGGCAAATAAAATCTTCCCTTATGCATATCATTCTTTAGATTATCATAAGGAGAATTCTGAAGTCTGTGTGTTGACAAACCCTACACTTTGCTTTCTCTAATTGCCTTCTGCTCCTTCTGACAATGTCAGATATTTTCTTTTCCCCTTCGTTCTCCGCAACACACACTCTGCACTTTTGCCAATCCAGTTGGCTTTTTCTGTGATGTTTTGCTACAGCTTTCTGTTCCCCTTCACTGTGTCTTTTGTTTCTTTCCTCCTCACTAGAAAACTGGTCATTGGGGTTTCCCCAGGATCCCTCTCCTGACTTCTTATTCACTTGAGTGACTAAACTTAACACCTCCTTAAATGTTGGGTCTTTAGTAAGTATAATAATCAGCATTTCCAATTAGCATTTCCTAGAGCTCTGTTAAGAATTCCAGATCTTTCCAATACTCTCTTCCTGAATGCTATTTAGAAATATTACCCTCACAATAAGACAAGAGTTTCTTGAGGATTCCTGTTTTAAAGGTCGTATTTGGAGACTGACAAAGGATACATAACTTAGCAAAGAACGCTTCTAACTTTATTCTCAATTCTTACCAAGTAGTGGATTCTGCAAGATCATAGTTAAAACTCTCTGGTGTGAGGTATCAATTTTACACAAAAGGGCTAGATCAAAAAATTCAATTTTGGAGTCTCTGATATAGTTTGAAACTTAAGAAAACCTAAATGATAAAAAGTTAAACATAGTTACGTATTCATTGATATGTCTATATCCTTTATCATGAACAATATACAATTGAGAATTCAACTGTTTTTAAGTGTGTAAGTCAGATGCTATCAAGCAAACTGCCATGTATGACCCATAGTCCTTTTAAATGTTTAACTCAGACAAATAGGAAGATTCAGTAAACTTCAATTTTCCAAATGTTCTCAGAAAGAGTTATCAGAAGCATCCACCACTTACAAAACACAGCTGGATAATCCACTTAGCCCGAATGAACTACCTGTGTGTGTTGTGAGGTAGCAATGACAGACTATGATCTTCTGTGGAGATGATAACCTCTATGCATAAGCAGTCCCTCTTCACAGGAAGAGTGTGAATAACAAGAAGGGACAGAGTTACCCTTCATTATTTCATCAACTACTGGTGTTTTCATAGTGTCTTAAATGCCTGATTTCAGTTTTACAACAATACCAATATTTATTTGGAAAAGTCATCTTATGTTCCAGGTAGCAGATATTAACAACTTCCAACACGATCTCTAGGAATAATTCGCAGTTCTGAGCCATGCTTTAGGAAAACATTTCCTACACAAACAAAACATAAAGTTAGGTATTTAAAAAATGACAAGTTACCTTAACATTCCAACAACGATCATAATACAAGATACAAAGAAGTGTAAAGTAAGTAGGTACAGAAGCTCAAATATTTTCAGAATCTAACTCCAAGCTTTTTAAGGCTTGTTCCCATTCCTCTCACATCTTCACAAACCAACCAAATGTCTGAAAATTTTAAATAAGAACACTAGCTACAAAAGTGCTAATGCATACACTCAGCAAACACCAATGTAATTTAACCATCAATACTTGCTAATTTATTACACAATAAAATATCTGAGGACAGAAAGAATAGTAAATCTTTTTTTTTTTTAAGATTTTATTTATTTATTTTGACAGAGAAAGAGAGAAACAGCGAGAGAGGGAACACAAGCAGGGGGAGTGACAGAGGGAGAAGAAGACTCTCCACTGAGCAGAGAGCCCAACGTGGGGCTCGATCCCAGGACTCTGGGATCATGACCTGAGCCGAAGGCAGACACTTAACAACTGAGCTACCCAGGCGCCCCAAGAATAGTAAGTCTAAATTACCACAAATGACAGAGGTTTAGAAACCTGATCTGACCTATTTTTGCTCAACTGCTTGTTGAAATTTTCTTCACGCCCCAGGATATGCACATTTCAACTTTTAAGGGTAATACAACAGGCAGCATGTTACAATAAGCGGTAACTCAAATTAGTATGAACTACTGAACATTTCTACAGCAAGAAGAAATAAAACCTTTAAACCAAAGTTTAAAGACATCTCCACAATAAAATGCCTCATGGTTTTCAATAATCTTTTTAATTTAATAACATTATATACTTAAAACTACTGATTTAAGTAAAAAAAAAAAAAAATTACAATTTTAGGGTGCCTGGGTGGCTCAGTTGGTTAAGCAACTGCCTTCAGCTCAGGTCATGATCCTGGAGTCCCGGGATTGAGTTCTGCATCAGGCTCCCTGCTCAGCAGGGAGTTTGCTTCTCCCTCTGACCCTCCCCCCTCTCATGCTCTCTCTCTCATTCTCTCTCTCAAATAAATAAAATCTTAAAAAAAAATTACAATTTTAAATCCCTCTTCATTTTCTATACGGTTAAATTTCAATTCCAAGGCCTTATGAGGACAATATAATTTTTTTATAATACAGAAGTACTCTAGAATGATTTAAACATAACTACTGCTCAAATAGAGATCACATTATATTAAAACATGCTTAATTTTAAAACACTGTAATTAGATTATAAGCCAAAAAAAGCTACATCTAAAAAATATAAAACTACCTACTAAAATTTTAAGATCACTTTTACTTTGCCTGCTTGTTAGGACATCAATATACAGCACTGTATAATACCAAGTTTGAAGCTCTGAGTGTGCACTAAGTCCCCTAAAAGACTGTACTTTCTTAAAATAACAGTAACAGCTAGCACTTCCTGAATGCTTACTATGGATAATGCAGACCTGTAAGCACTTCCCATGGACTACCTCACCACTATCATATAAAGGTAGGTCCAAATCATTATTCCCGAAAGAGTACGATCTTACCGTCACTTTCGGTTCTCTGTATTAAACACCTTTTAATGCTTATTAGTGAGGTTTTCTCTTTCTTGTAGCCAAAAGCATATATAACTGATACCCGTAACAAAACAAATTATTACTCCAAGACACAGGTAAAGACTCCTACATAATCCTTAAAAAATAGCTATTATCCTAGCAAAAACCCTATCTAGTCTAATTAGAATGAATCACATGTTCAGTATCAACTGACACGCACAGCCCCACCCACATGTCCGTGAGTTTCAGACAAATACTCACCAGCAGTCTGGGCAGGATTTATTCCTATTCCATCTAGAAAAGAAGTCATAAAATTATCTAAGTGGTTTTATTTCTAAAGCTAAAATGGTTTAATGTAACAAGAGATTTGTCGTTACTGTGTATACAGGCACAAGCCAACCAATTTAAATCCAAAAACACAAATGACAAATCTTTCAGTAAGTTACCTGTTGAAATATGTTGAAATAAATATCCGTTATTATTATGCATTTACACATATTGCTGGGTTAGACAAGAACACCGGTCAAGGCCATGATCCTGGTAAGTTCCACGGAAGACAATGTATTTTACCACACCACACCCAGTGAAAAATAAAGTCAAAAGCACTTTTATGTCCTTCATCATTTACATATTGCTCCCAAGGCATAAAATCTCCCCAGGAGAGCCCCCAAAGTCATTTAATTCAAGCTGCAGTGACACCTGATGAAAGTTTACAAAAACACTTTCCTAACAGCTAATTTGTAAATCTAAAACTTTCTGGAAAATAGGTCAGGTAGCGAAACACCGCAATATGACAGCATATGAATATATGTTTCAGAATGAGAAATTCTGTCGTATCTAAACTAAAGCATGCTACCATGCATTAAACCCATGTTCTCTTAGACTATCCTAACTGCACATGAACCACTGGCCAGCACCAACAAATACTACCTTGTATTTTTGCAAGATTGTGAAGGCCTTCCCGCAATCTTTACTCTTCATCTTATTTCAGTATCTTCTCACAGGGCTAGTTCCATCACAGTAATTACAGTATTCTAAGATATTCAGAATTTAAACTATAGATCTAATTGGATAAAATCCTCATTATTTCAAGCTTATAAGAAATAGTTTACCACAGGAAAGCAATAAAAAGCTATAGCAAAGGTACATTCTCATGTAACTTCCTATATTCTAAAGCATCTACAACTTATTAAAAAACAACACACCTTGTTAAATAAAGGGAAAAGTTATTTTTAGTAATAATCTGGCATGAAGTGGTAAGGACACAAGATATTGTGAAGTGCTATAATATATCAGAAGCATAAAGAAACTGAAAAGAGCTCATTATGGACAATACCTTGACTTAGTGTTTACAACTATGTGTATCATTTATGTTAATATAAATTTTGGCCTTTTTAAGTCGATTTTAATTAATTTGACTTTTTAAAACAATTTCTATAGCTCTGAGGTAATAGTTTTAAAATGATTTCTTACCATTGGTAATAATTGCACTTGTTGCTGCAGGAACTTTAAACTAAAAAGGAGAAAAAGGAAAAAAATTATTTTTTATCTTTGTAAAAGTTTATATAAAAAATATATAAATATTTATATACATAAACTATAAAAGATGGTTAGCAAGGATGGGGTACATATAATCAATTCTATAGTCCTAAAATGTGATTTATCTTTTAGGATAAATAATGTCATCAAAGAAAAACTATTAATTGGCTTATATTTAATGAACAATATTTTTTTCTAAATACTGCATTCCACTGCATATAGGACACCAGGGATTGGAAAATGCATCTTATTTTATGCATTACAGAAAAACACTGTCAATAAATCTCCGATCGATGTTTACTCTTTCAGACTTAGACATGTTACTTTTATCATATGTAACTCTCTTGCATTATCAAAAATAAAAGCAAAACACTTGCTTAGAACATTCCTAAAATTTCTCTGTAGAAGCAGTAAGGTCAAACAAATGCTATCTTGTATTTAAGGGAAGACCAACCAAAGCTCAAATTCCCCTCTGAATGTATTGCTGACTTAGATTTCACATGACTGCAACAGTCTAATTATGCCACCAGGAAGTAACAACTAAGTTCAAGTGGGTGCAGATGATGTCAACTAGACAATTATGTGACTGCCACTTGGCTAATAGTGAGAGTAAGACTCCACTGATCTACTTCCAGAGGCGTAAAAAGATTCGTTTTCTGAATCAATAAAATGTGGTATTGAACTTATTGGTAGCTAAAGGGAGAAGTCCTAATTCTTTTGAGACCAGCAGTTGTCAAAATGTGTTCATGTACTCATAAGTTCATTCATTTATCTAACAGATATTTATTAAGTACTTCTATGCTTATAGACTAGTTTTATAGATATTACAGTTGAGTTTTGTGATCAAATAAATCTGGAAAACACTAAAGTAGTATTCTTTTCAAAATCAACTAATATGCAGCTAATATAGTTGATTTAATGTTAAGAAGGAAATGGTGAATAAAGTATTTCCCATACTCTTTGGCCACTAATTCTAGTTTTTCATTATTTTTGTTGTTGTTGTTTTGGTGGTTCTAGTGGCCTTGGAAAAGTATTCTGGGAAATGCTACTCTGGGAAATGTATAATGGTCACATATACATAGTTAAGAAAAACAACTACAAGTTTACTTTAAGTTATAAATTAAAGACTCAAGTTTTAAAATAAAAATTTATGCATGAGAACAATACCTGTTACTGGATTATGCACCTGATAAACACATAACTTCACAGTCTATATGGTCCATTTTTATTTGTAAATGTCTTTTTAAAGATTTAAAAAATTTAAATAAACCTAACTTAAAATAACTTCAAAATGTGCTTTAATAAATATTAAAATACTTCAAGTTATTTATAGAGATTGTAATACTTAATAAAACTTAATAAAACATCTCAGATTTCTAAAATTTGAGATTACAAAGTTTCTAGTTACCCTATTGTCTTATTCTTAGATTATGTCCATTTTAGGATAAACTATGCATTTTTAGTCACCTCCATATAGTGGCAGCATATTTATGAACATTAAAAACCATAAGCAAACTGCTGACATAATTACTCCCTTTTCCAGAATGTAGTAGCAACTGTTTAGCAGAAATCTGGGAAGCATCACGAGTGATGTAAAATTCAGCAACTATTATGTTCATCCTACACTACTGACAAGTTTCCTTCTGGATGCAAAGTATTTCACGCTCCTAAATTTTCATTTCTTTTCTTTCTCAGACCCCTAAATCTTGTAATTTAGGATGTTAAAAGACTATTCTCAGGTTTTCACAACTCACTACTTAATTCTTACTCCTATTGGGGAATTTTCTTATTTTTTTATTGAGAGATTTTACTAGGGATTTAAATCCACAGACTCAGTTTGTCAAGTCAACTCTTGTCTTCACTGTAAGATCCTATAATGTCTCATCTTGTGAAAGTCCTTCTCATTGCTGCCTGAAAGTCATAACCTTTCTAAAGGTATAACACCCGCGATTTATCAACGGTTATAAGCTACATTAAAACCTCAATAAATATATGCAGCCATGTGAAATTTGTAAGTTTATTTTCAATTGCACGTCTGTTATGATTTTTTTATACTTTCACCAAGAGACCAAGATCACAACAATGCCTTTGCCTTACAAAGAACACATATAACTACAAAATATAATAATAAAATATTAATTATAGCTCAAATTGACATACTTCTTAAATTTGTGGGATCTGCTACGCCCCAGGACCAGGAATAGTTCTTGCAGGTGATCTGTGCAGCAGAAAGTAATGCTGATGCTGTACTCAGATTTGTTTCCTACCTCTTTTTAGTTATTCTATATGGGTGAAAAAGATTAAAATTGACTATAAAACAAGTACTACCACTTTTCAGTTCAATTCTGAAGGAGAGATAAATGATGTCAGTGGTCCCAGACAGTATCTGTAACTACTGATGGTTTGGCTGATTTTCCACTAATAACTTAAATTCAGGGTAGGATTATGGGTTAAGCCAGTTTATTTAATAATATAAAAAATTATTTTTCTGTGACTATAAACTTTTTCAAAGATTCTGAATCAAAACATTTGGATTTGGGTTACTCTAGATTTGTACAGCACTTTTAACTTCACAAAATATCAGTAAATGCAATTATATTTTTACTCAAAATCATTTAATCAGACAGGAAAGATAGATATTAATTACTCCCATTTTACAGGATATGAAATTTGAAGAAAAGAGAAATTGATTGGGAGGTTTGCCCATATCACACAAATAATTAATGACACAATTAAACGTCTCCCAAGTCACATTTTCATGCCATTTCCACCAGACCAAGCTACTCTTGTAGTGTTATGTCCAAAGAGCTGCTTTATGGATGCATCTGATAACTCCGGATGAAAAAAATCTTATTTCTTAAGAACCAAAAACCCAAAAATGCTTTAAAAGACTACACACTTTTAAAAGCAACCAGTTGACATGCTCATACAGAAAACTTGAAAAATATGATAAAGACATTAAAAAATTCTAATTCGAGAATCAAAATGAGTAAAACCAGGTTTATGGACTACACTGTAAAATAATGTTGCTGTTTAAAAAAATTCCCATATCCTCATAATTTTTTCCTTATAATTTTCAATGGATGCATTAAATAGAGATTTGTTTAACTCACTTTCCCTACTTCTATTAAGTCTTAACTTCCATTCACTTACTTCTGTAAGTAGGGCTTAACTTTTTGATAGCATAAACTTAGTAATGAATCTGCATGGAAGTGGTGGGTCAGAGTACATGCAAAATTTAAGACTTTTTCTTTTTTTTTAAAGATTTATTTATTTACTTGAGAGAGAGAGAGAGAGAAGGGAGGAAAGGGAGGGAGAAGCAGATCAGGGCTCGATCTCATGACCCTAAGATCAAACCTGAGCTAAAGCCAAGAGTCAGACGCTTAACCAACTATGCCATTCAGGCGCCCCGCAAATTTAAAAAGACTTTTGAAAAAGATACCAGTAAACTGCATTCCATACAGGTTGTTCCAATTTCTATACTTACTTCTTCTGCTGCAAACTTTAAGACTGCTGTGAAAGGTGTACTTTCAGGAACACTAAGTCTGCAAGAAGAATTAAGAATTTTTTAAAAAGCTGATTATTCTTAAAGCCCCTCGTTCCTTATTTTGGCTAATGTGGTAGACCTGGACAAAACTGTCTTTTGAGGCTGAAGGTTGTCTATTTTGACTGCACACTATGCTCATTAACTTTAAAATGGAAAAAAAACCAATTAATTTCATAATTGAGATGATGCCCACAGCTCCACCTGAAAATTAACCCATATAGGTGAAACCTTATATATTCTTAATACTTTGATACAAAAAGGTCTAGCATATAGGCTGCTGCTTGTTTCCACAAATGGATTTCAAAAAGTCACATTTCTCCTTAGTCGTCAGTCCACTTTACCTCCAGTCCAAACACCTCTGCACCTGATGCAGGAAGATCATCCTTTCATTGTAAGAGTCTAGCTTAACCTTCTCATGAACTTTCCAGTGCACTTTTAATAATCAAGTCTGAAATAGTAGATTAAACTGATGTAAATGAGTATGTTCACTATGATAAAATGTGAAGTGATTTTCTACCTTTATATTGTCATTAGAAAAAGAGCTTAATACAATCTGAAATAACACTTTGGAGAGTCATGTGTGATTTTGTTACTAACTTATGCAGTGTTAAGTATATGAAAGATTACTGATAAATGGTCAATCTGTATGAATTTTCCAATTTAAAAACTAAAAACAGAATTGACATTATACCCTAAGAAAATACTTAAAAACAAAGAAAGAAGTTAAAAAATATATAAAAAGTTCCTAATGTGAAATAAATAAAAATGACTTAAGACTGTAAAACAGATTATCTTTCAAAGCAGGGAAGTGACTGGCAAGCTAACATTTCTCTTTGAAACTTCTCTATTTGTCACCAGAGTATTGTTCTTTAATGTTTTAATAAATTACCAATATGTAACATCTTAAGTATGTGTCCCATTTCTTCATTTAGTTACAGATCACTGAATATAAAAATCACTAGCTGCCACAACACATTATACTTCCCGTAGGAGATTTTTGGCTGCCACCATTCTACTTCTCCAAAATACCACTCAAGAGTGGAAATGGACATCATTTTTCTCCCTCTTCTTTCCTTGTTTTTTTTTTTGGAGACAATAAAAACAAAATTCTAAAGGACAGCCATTTGTTTAAAAAATATCTGCTAAAATGGGAATGTGATAGTATACAAAGTAGGGAATGGTACTTGGCAAGTATTTCTGTACTACATTTACAGTTTCGAAACTGAGATTCATTTTCCTAAGGAACTCTTAAAACCTTAGGGTTTCAATTCACTTGTGAACTGCAGACAGGAAATGTCCCTGTAATACATACCTAAATGTCATACTAATATTCATTAAAATATGTTTCTACCTGTATTTTAAATTGGTGAGACTGTCCAAAGATAATCCAATAAAAAAGTAAAATGAAAACATATTTTAATGCATGTTCTAAGTGGCAGAAAAATCAGAGAGGGACTGGGAGTTACTGTAACTCCACAAATTTTATCTAGATTTGAATTTGTTTTGTTTGCCAGTTGCATCATTTTGCAAATGTGGCGCTTAAACATTACACTGGTGTTTTGAAAAAATGGGAATTATTCTGTATATTAAGATGAATTTTTAATAAATATTACATATAAACAGAAATATGACAAAACTTGACAAGAGCTATTATAAAGAACTGAGAATGAAGTTTCTATAGGAAACTGAGGAAGGGAGAGATGAACTCCCCCAACAATTACAGAAATCTTTACTGAGGTGACATTCTGATTATTAAAGGGTTGTTTGTCCAGAAGTGGTGGTCCCAAGACTGCATTCCAAACACAGAAAAGAACATGTATAAAAGCAGAGAGGACTAAAGGGCCTGCTTGTCAATATGTGAACATTGACTGAAGCTTTGATTAAGTAATCATGGTAGTATGGAAGGTGAGAGAAGAGGTGGAAAGTGAGAATGAAAGATAGGAATCAGACTGAAAAAGTCAAAGGTACATTTAACTCATCCCATATATACAAGAGCACATTTGATTGAACATTTCTATAACCTAACGGCAATACCAAGAGTGAATCTATCAAAAAACAAAACAAAAAAACCAGTAAAAACTCTTGATATCCCCCAGAATAAATGAGGAACTGAAACATCCTTTTTAGAATTCAACTATTAGTAATGTTAGAAACTCAAAGGACATCTTTCTATCAAAGCATACATTTACTGGCTTGGCAAGTGAAAAGTAACATTAAAAAGTCAAAGCATGTTCTCCCATAAATTTTAAAAATTGCATTTAATAGTACCCAAGTACTAGTTACCAATTACTTTGAATAGGATATATAGCATAACTAACCTTACACACACACACACACACGTTATACGTATTTTATATAAACACACACCCATATACAGATCATACATACACACACCAAACACTAGGTATGCCTATTATATTCATTCAGTCACCAATATTAATTGAACTGGTTCAAAATTCCAGGCACTCTTACAGATACTACTGCTGTCCTACTGTCCTTTCTTCCACCTTCTCACTTTTTTCTAGAGAATATTTATACATTGATGAGAATAACCCAGTATAAAGGGAAAAATCAAAGATGATGAGGAGAGAGGAATCTCTGGACTCCATCTACTTTAATCTTGAGAAGACTAAAATAGATGAGATCCAGAGCCCAAGTGGTACAGCTGGTTTTTCATAGGAATAAAGTCATGTTTTCCTTTGTAATAGGATAGTGGACAGAAACTATGGGTTTATAGACACAGTAGTAACTTTACAGATGTGATGACGGAAAGATGAATTTTCCTCTGATGGCTTCGGAAAAAGGGAAAAGCACTGTAAAAAGTATTAACAGATTTTAAAAATTCTTTCAGAGAATAAAAAGACAAGCAAACCTGGGAACTGTAGCAGAGCATTAGGTACTATTGAGCATAGTTGTGAATTTTACATAAAATCCAACAGCCTAATTGTGTAATTTTCCCTAAAGACATTCAGCTATGTACAGAGAACATAGTGGTTGAGTTCAGAGTTGGATGTTTCACCAAGCAAAACATACTGGGGAGAGGAGAACACCAGAGTTGAGGTGAGTGGACACCAGACAGAATGACCGGACCATGGACTCTGGGAGGGTAAGAAAAGGAACCGGGTAAAGCAAGGGGGAGAGGGTAGTGACAGATTTAAAAAGCAGTCTGATCAATTAATTCCTTTTAATTCATTACTCTGAAATATTAGAGTAAATTAGATGTAAGAAGAAAATGTGGTTATCCACAAGAGCATACTTGAAAATGACACCCTAGCTGGAGCAGTTACTGAAAAAGACCTTAAGATTTTAGGCTGTAACCATGCATATTTGAGAGAAGGTGAAAAAAAGATTCCTCTGGAGATCAAATGATCAAAAAAGCTTAAGGGTAGGAGTTGCATGGGAAAAAGCTTAAGGGTAGGAGTTGCATGGGTCATAGATAGTTAAGTCGCTGAGGCTGACAACTGCTAACAGTTTGGTTAAGTAGGTCTTGATATTAATTATTTTAACTATGCTTAAAATCCTATTGAAGTCTTGTCCTTTGCCGCATTTTATGCGACTTCCAGCTGCAATAACCTCAATAATGTTGATCTAAAATCACAGAAAATTCCGGATGAGTATGTAGTTAAGGCCGTGCCAATTCATCATTCAACTGCTAAAGGAGAAAAAAAGGCCTCGCGTCGATAAAATGCCCTATTTCTGCATTTCCCATTCCTACTAATCACACTTTATTAAACCCCAGCATAAGAAGTGTATGACTTGAGGCTCATTACTTTGTGACGCCCAACTGTTGAGTCACTCACACGGGAATCAGAAGCCGGACAGTGATAAACGTTCAAGTAATTTCAGAATCTGAACTGGGCTGTCTTCCCCTACTTCCTGTAACAGCTGGTCAAGGCGGCAAAAGGCCCTTCCAATCAGGAGCAGATAAGGACTTCTTTAAGGACCCCAGCAAATCATTAGAGTCGTCTACACGTCCTCCCGCTCCAATACCCAACCCAGGGAGTCCCGTGGACAGGTCACCTGTCAGCAGCAACGTTCCCGTCACACGCCCTTGCTCCCTCGCGCCGGGGTGAGCTGACAGTGCAGCGGGCGCGGGATGTCGCCTCTCAGGCTCGGGTGGGATCGGGGAGGCTCCAGGAAGAGCGAGGGAGTGGGAAAGGGACGGCATGCAGCCTGCTGGGGTGGAAGAGGATCTGGAGGCCAGCCTGGTCCCCCGTAGCCCGCAAGGCACACCGCCGCCAGGCTACTCACACTTTGTAAGGCAGCCGCGGGTCCGACGTCAGCGTGATCTTAAAGGAAACCTTCGACCTGAGGAGGAGAGCGGGAGAGAGTTAAAGTCGTGCAGCGGGACCAGGGGTTGGAACCCGGGTCAGCAAACACTTACATGGTGGAGCCGCTCCCGGTAGAGATCCCCGCCAATTCCGCTGGTCTCCCACTTCCTCTGCGCTGCCGGGGAACGCACCGCCCCACTCAGGTCCACGTCTCCCTCGGCGAACTGGGGGCCTCCAAAGTTGCTGTTGTCTAAGGCACTGCCTGAAAATTGGCTCCTGTTGCTCGTGCTAGGCGGAGCCTCCAAGTTACAAAGAGCTACTTCTTTTGGATCTCAAGCTCTGAGACTAAAGCATGGATCGTACGGAAGAATATTTTTCTAATTGCGATTACGTTCTTCCGTATTTTCATTCAGGCAATACCAATATGGGTAGAGACGGTAGGACTCTAGGTCCCAGCTGGCAACCTGGGGCGGAAGTAAGAGCATAGAGTAGGCGGGCGCAGAGTGAGGCGTGGCGAGGGGCGGGAGGTGGGCGCGGCTGGGGGGGGCGGTGTTCCACGAAGTTGCTAAGGCAACGGTTCGCGGAAAATCTGGTGTTGAGTTCAAGAAACTGGAATCTTCGCCCCGCTTTAGTGTTAGTATTCTTTTGTCTTTCCAGCAATGCAAAGCTGTTATATCTTGTATTTCCAGTTTTTTCCCCTTAACACTTAACACAATACTGACGTCTAACTTCAACAGACAACAGAGTTATCAAGTTGGTGAGATAGACAAGATCCGTGTGCTAGAGAACTTGGAGTGTAGATGGAAAAAGCAATCCATGAACAGGATTCCAATAGTTTGTTGTGTGGCCTAATTGGATTAAACCAGGGAACTAGGGTGCCGATCATCAGCACATTTATTCAATTTAATAACAAACTTTGAATCCTTTCTATGTGGCAGGCAGTAAAGCTAAGTGCTGGGGATGCTGGAATGAGTAAGATAGGTAGGTGCCAACCCTCTGGGATCTAACAGAAGTTCTTATATGTGAAGACAGACTGAATGTCCTCTAAATGTATTACAAATCTAATCATCTGTGTTTGCAAGATAAACATCCCTCTCACAATGTCTGTAATGCCTTTTCTAAGAAATATTGCCATGAATGACAAAATAGGAAACAGGTAAGTACTAAAATAATGAGGAGATCTAGCTAATTTTTCGGATATTATGTTAGATTTTTTAAGGAGAGATATCTAAGAGGAATAGGGAAGCAACTGCAGTAGGAATGTTAAAGACCAATTTCTGTAATTTTGTATGAGTGCTCTTCTGTGGTCACAGCTCCCCAGGGAGAGAGTGCTGACTCTGCCTTAGGAAAGAAAGGCTGTGATATTCTCATGACACTCATTGTGTTCCTCACTTAGAAAAATGCAGGTCTTGCCATGGGGAGAAAGCTGGAGGCAAATGTTGATTGATAGATTTGGGGATTGACAGGTATAGCATTAATAGCGGAAACTATGGGATTAGTTGGTATGACTAAGATTTTTGAGAATAGCAGTAAGAAGAAAACTACTGATCGTGTCTACCTGGTGTCAGATAGCCAAGCAATGAAGAGACTAGAGTACATACTTACGGTCTTTATTTCTAAAAATACATATGTATTTTTAAACAATATTTGCATCTTTTTTATTTATAGTTTTATTTCTGCTCATGTATAAAAACATGTTGTAAAATCCTGAAGAGAAAAAGTATTTTGTTTAGAGTGTTTATTGTATTTATAAAAAGTAATGAAGACAAGATTCAACCCCAGGCAGTGTGACTTCAGTACTCACATTCCACTGCCTCTTTAGAAAACATATTAATATAATATATTATATCAAAAGGACAAGGGGAAAATATTGTGTTCAAAAGATATTGAAAAGAACTTATTCCTAAATTTTTAGAATTCTTTCCCACCTCAATACCCTAACCCTCCTACCCATATATTTGTATCCTCAGAGTCACAGCATAATTTCTAGAGCCTTCTGAGTTTTATTTTCTTGATACAAGAAAATAATTGATAAATAGATTCATTTATACTTAATATTTTTTGTTCTTTTAAACTTTGCTAGGGCACCCAGCAAAATTTGGTAAATATATCAGAAAAAGAACCTTATTTACTGAAACGTTAAAGTGCTGAAGTTCATTTAATGACCGTAAACAAAAGCAAACTCTGGATTTTAGGAGGTAATTGGCAAATGCAACATTTTAAGGCAAGGAACAGCATAAATGGCCTAATGTGTTTTGGAAGGGATCTAATTAGTATCACGTGGAGGCAGAAACGATTATAGAGTGCACAGTATGACCATATTAGAACCCATTAAATATAAATGAAACATACCAATGTTCTGTTTGCAAAAGCATACAAATTTCTCATTATTAGAAAGGAATTAGAGGGAAATTAAATTTGTATAAGAACTAAAAAGATTTGCTTATGTAGTCATAAAAATCCTTCTTACCAGTATATCTGTAACCAGCTTTAAATAAGATAGAAAACGTCAGATTTGGAAGCAAAAAAAAAAAATTGTCTTCCTAAGTTTTTCACCCTAATTTGACTATATTTATGATTATGACTAAAATCACCTGATACTCTAATTATGTAATCATGAAAGATTTTCACTGGGATAAATCTTAGGATCTTTTACTCCAAACATTTCATATTACAGGAAAAAAATTGTAGTTTGGCCAATTGATAATGAATGGATATTTTTATTGCAGTTTAATTTGGTCATTTTTTAAAATTATCTTTACTCTTCCTACAATCCTCTGTGGGACATTAATATCATTGGGGCCATGATAATAATAATGGCTCAAAATGTATTAAGATTTACTTTGTGCTAAGTATTATCTTTAACATTTAGTATAAGGGGAATCACAAAATACAGATTTTAAACTTGGATTGCCTTTAAGTTATAAATCAATGAAAAGAAACCTTAAATGGGAGATTTGATCTGGTAGACAAAAGTACTTGGGAATATGTAAATATTGTGTTGATCCTAAGATAAGGACTATAAGTTTACATCCTTGAGAGCCAAAGAACGATGAACTATAAGTGAGATTAGAGCTTAGTAAGGCCTTAGAGGAGATCACAGCTCTAAATGTGCTGTACTTGATTATTATTTTATTTATTTATTTTTTTGATTGAGAGAGAGAGCCAGAGAGCTGGGGTGGGGGTGGGGGGAGGGAGAGAATTCCAAGCAGACTCCACCTAGAGCTTGGACCCCATACAGGGCACTGATCTCACCACCCTGAGATCATGACCTGAGCCAAAACCAAGAGTCGGATGCTTAATTGAATGAGCCACCCAGGCACCTCTGCCCTTGATTATTATGATTCCATACCTTCCCAAATATTTCCTGAAGTTAAATGAGAAAAAAAAGGGCTTTTCTTAGGAACGTCATTGTTTGACTATAAGCCTTGTAAATGTGAGATATAATCACAAGACTTCGAATATTTTAACTACAGAATTTGTAAAATACTTTCATTGTGAGAAAACATTTTAAATTGTAAAAACAAACAAACAAAACAAAATGGGAATTTACCAGTCTTGTATAATTAAATTTTCTCTCTAAATATCGTGTGAATTATTTGTTTAATGGGAACATTACTTGTTAGAAAAATTAAAATAATCTCTGACAGATCTATTCCAAACACAGGATTATGGTTTCTTCTACTCATTTTTATTCTTCCAACAGCTATGAGGTTAGTACTATTAATATTCCACTATTAGAAGAAGAAAGTAGCACACAACAATTAAAAGACTTATCCTAAGTTTAAGTAAGTGGTTGAAATGAGATCGAACTCAGATATCTGTTATTAAAACCGGGTTTTATTTACTACAGGAGTTTAAGAATCTAAGCTGTATCCTTAGCTAGTACGAAACAATACTTTGAGGTAGCAAATATTGTTATCCCTCTTTCACAGATAAGGAAGTTAAGAGAAACTAATTTTTTCAAGGTTACAAAACTAGTAAAGTGCCAGAGCTGGTATTGGAATCCTGGCAGGTTGGATTCAGAGCCTACACTCCTCAACGTGATATACCATGAATCTATGATCACTTATTTATAAATATTACACTTACGTCATAGATACTCTGTTTTTCCCACTTCAGTCTCAAAGTCAGTTAGATTTCTTATCCTGAGCCAGATATAATAATAGTTATTCCTCTCATATAATTGTAGAATCTTTTTTATATTATGTTGAAAAGGAATTCAAAAGGAACTCAGGAGAGACAGTACCATTTCGAGAAAAAACCAGAAACAGAAGAGTACACACTGAATGAGACCATTTATATATATGGTTCAACATCAACAAAAATCAATCTATGGTGTTAGAAGTGAGAATGGAGGTTGCTTTTGTGAGGGCACAGTGACGGAAGTGTAAAAGGAGCTTCATGGGTGCTGATAACATGTTTCCTGACCCGGGTGTTGATTATGCTGCTGGATTAACTCTATGAAAATTCATCAAGTTGATATACTTAGGGTCTGTGTATTTTGTGTGTATTCTATTCCAATAAAAGTTTATCTTTAAAGATTCTAAAGGCTAAAAGAAAAACAGTTACAAAAAAATGACTGGGAGTGATACTGGAATTTAGTGGGCAGGTTGTCAGGGGACTAGCAATGCTAAATGCAAAGAGTGGGAAAGGGTAAAAATCATGCATTTTCAAGGTATGCAAGTACAATGGAAATCAAGAAGAGATTTACTTTTCATTTTTCCTGGTACTTTTCAAGACTTCTTAAGCTTTTTGAAAAATCGTGTAATCAAGTGCTACACTTTTCATGGTATTTGAATTTCCAATCAATACAGCAGTATCAAGGTATATTTGTGGCTATTTTATTCATGATTACCTTAGACATTGGCACAAGTATTAGCCACTTCACTATAACAGCTTCATTTCACTTCACTGTACAGATTTTATGTGAAACCTATATTAAAGTACATGCCAAATTATTATAATTTACTTTTATTTCTCTTATATATTACAGTTAGGACATGATACAGATTTTTTAAAACTATGTGTGTAGGTAGTTTGTATTATCCAGGAACCTATATTCAAGTTTAAAAAGGGAGCGTTAAAATAATTGCAATAAGAAAAGGGGCATTGGGAAGCACTGATTTATATTTATAATGGATACTAACTTCTCACAGCCCGATCTCTGGTGTACTAAAAATATAATTCATTTT